GGTTATCGATTTGAACGGGAGTACCAGCTTAGCCTGCTTGCAATACAGAGCCACGTCGGTCAGACAAGGCGGTGCACCAATCCACTTTCTCAAGGCTGTGTTGATTTTCTTCTCCATGGTTTAGACTGCAGTCATCGTCACCTCGGAGACTAGCAGTGGCCTTAGGAGCTTTGGAATCAACATGAATTGGAGACACCATACCTTGAATTTCCCGACCAGCCTGCATCGTTCGATCGCGAGCAGGCCTGTAGCCAGTGACTCGTGTATTCGCCGGACCTTCGCTCTATCAGATAACTTCGAATCGTAAACGCGACCGAGGCTCTTCGCCGGTTCCTCCAGAACCGAAGGGATCTTTTTCCTTGCCACCGTAAAACTGGTTGCCTACACCTTGCCCTTATGGATTGACAGACTCCTCGACTTCTGCGGTTTGAACTGCATACCGCTCCATTGGACCACCGCGTCCAATCTATTCAGGATCGTGCGGGCAGACTCCTCGCTGCCGTTATAATAGTCGTGTCATCCATAAATGCGCGTAGTGGCGGCATCCAGTGATCCCCTATTTGAAGGCCTTGTCCGTAGCCGGCCGCCCCGTCTAACATGATCTGCATGGCCATGACAAACGGTACACCCCATAGATATCCCAATCTGCAACTCAGTCCATCTCGTGGTAAACGTCGAGGTAGAGAAGCGCAAAGCGAACTTAGAGAAATATTGCTTGATCATATCATTGATCTGTGCCGGTACGTGGAACATGCGAAGGGCTCGCCACAGTAGCCTATGGCGGACTGCCCCGTAAGCGTTGGCTAAGTCCAACCAAATCACGTGCAATTGAGTTCTCTCATGCTTGGCTCTCTGGATAGCCTCTCAAATCATGGTCGCGTGTTCAAGGCACCCGGGAACGCCCGGAATACCACCCTTCTGAACACTCGTATCCATGTACTTGTTAGCCATCAGATACTGTGTGAGCCGGCGAGCCATGACCGAGAAGAATATCTTACCCTCGACATTCAACAGCGAGATGGGCCTGAATTGGGAAAGACTCTTCGAGTCCTGCTCTTTGGGAATGTAGACCCCATTTGCCTTTGACCACTCTGGACATATGTGTTTACGGATCCACGCTTGTTTCAACAAGACGTGAAGCATTTTTAGGATTTTCGGGCAACGCTTGTAAAGAACGTACGGAACATTGTTCGGACCTGGGGCAGACTTGCCGCTGGCCTTTTTCACAACTTCCTCAAATAAGACTAGACCTATATTTCATACACCAGTCGGCACATCACCTGACGGCAAATAGTAGAGAAACCTTGGAAATATAGAAGAATGCTTTTGTGGATTTTAAAAAGAGCGTATAGAAACGGTTTATGGAATGCTATGAAGGACTTTGAAATAACAAAGAAGTTAATTACCATGACCAAACTATGTATGGAAGTCACTTGTAATATGGCATTATATAAAAGCTGAACGTCGCACCCTTTTCAAACAGCATCTGGTTTAAAGTAAGTTGTTGTTCTGTCCCCACTTCATTTCAACTTGGCTATGGAGAAATTTATAGGGAAATTGAAACAAGAGTGTACTGTATGCGAATCTACAAGAATACTTGGATATGCTGATGTCATTGATATCGCTGGAGAAAATGAACTAGAGACTGTTAAAACACTGACTCTCTTAAAATAATCAGCTCATAATATGGGACTAGCTACCAGTCAAGATAAGACAGAATACACGATTATAACTAGACAGGAAAGGGCATCATGAGAGCTTATAGAATTAAATGGTTAGGGCATTTGAAAGAATTGGCACTTGGAGAATGATATGGTCAGAATTACACCCGCCGTATTTACTTTCCAGGACTTCTACTTGGTATTCACTCAAGGCTTTGTCAACCTTGGAGCTAAAGTCATTTTTTTGAAAAAAGATCAGATTCCGTCAGTACCCCAACCCACGACCTTCCGATCCGAAGGCGAGCGTATAGCTGCTACACCACAGCGGTCTTCACACTGCAAGTATAACAAACATAATGTAGGGCACACTGAATGTACGTTTCGAGATCATACATGCGAGATTATAAAATAGTTTAGGGAAGTTTCAGAACAGTTTGGTCTTCAATCGTACAGTCGCACACGTCGAGTAATGTTTCGTAAACAGGAAAGTGTCGGCAAACGGAATGTATTCATTTATTGGCAGTTATTTACGCAAATTATTCAGATGTATCCGTTTATTTCTTGACTGTTTTCTAATTGAATCTTAGGTGGTCTGGTTGTCGTCATGGTCTTCTGGAAGGTTTTTAAGAGTGAGGATCTTGAAATTTTGGTTTGATAGTTGTTGGGTGGAAGAATTTCTGCTGTCTTTGATGTGTGACAGTTTGTTGTTTTCTTGTGGTTTCAAAAGATGTTGATTTTGTTGTGTCTACTCTTAAAAGTGGACGAACATCTGTTGTCTATTGAATTAGTTGTTTGTTGTTGCTCTGTGGTTCTGGTGCTGGCTTTATTGTGTCATTCCGTAGGGTTGAAGGGACTCTTTGTCGTGACTGGTCTTAAGGATTTCCTCATTTATTGTACCGGTGAGTATCTTTTCCACATGTCGTACAAACAAATGCGTGTTCCAGGCACTTTAAC